TCAAGTCAGTTTCCTTCTCACCCCCTCATCATTACACACTGGGCGCTTCCCCCATCCTCACCCCAGTTGGAGCTGAGTGGGGACAGACCCAGACAAAGCCACTGCTCTTGGCCCCTTCCTCGAGACATGCCAATGGGGCATCACGGCACATGTTCCCCAGACCTGAGGCTCAGCCTGTCCAAAATGCTGACAGAGCACCTGCTACACACCAGGACCAGGTAGGTAGTATGAGTGTGCTAAACATGGTTCCTGCTTTCACAGAGCTTAGAATCTAGTGGGAAAGTCAGATGATTAAAATATGTATGCCCACAGAGACAGAAGAATACATAAGTAAGTGTTTACAAATGAACATAGTACCCAAGAACAGAGTAGAGGAAAATCCTAATTTGGGGACCTCAAGAGCTAGACTCTTAGAAGTGACACAGGAGCTGAGCACCGGGGAGAGAGGAGGAAACTCCCCAGCTCCCCTCCCAGACAGCAGCGGCTTCCCTTTTGGGTACCAGAGGGCTCTCAGCCACTTTGAGAGGGAGCCCCAGCTCCCCAACCATGGGGTGATGCTTCTTACTCTAGCCTACTATGGAAAATTCCCAAAAGGTCACTGTCACAGCTCCTGGCAGCTCCACCCCTGCCCACCAGTCCTTCCACCTAATAACACCTTCCCCTCTTCCAGGGCCGGGCTTTAATTAACGCCCGCCTGGCGGAACCTGCTGGGTCAGAAACATACTGGATGTGCTGGGTCTGGCTCCCAAATGCATACCTTCCCCAGAGCCACCCTGCCCCTGGCCTTCTGACCCTCTCCTCCCACTCCAGCACCCCCGCAGCCCTGGGGCAGGGTGTGGAGATGAATTGTGGGTGTCTACTGTACTGAGTCTCAGACCCGCTTCCCCCCAATCCTTTCACACTGCCGTATTCTAGATGTTGATGAAAGAGAAGAGAGAGAATAAAGACAGGGACGGACAGGAGCAGAAGGACAGACAGACAGAAAATGAGGCGCGCGAAGAGACAGGCATGGAGGCAGCATGAGAGAAAAGGAGAGGCCGAGAGGGAGCCGAGAGAGCGCAGACAGACACAAGACGCAATGGTAGAAAGGAGAAGGAGAGGGGAAGAGCCCGGGAAGCATGGGGAGGGGTGGCAGGAAGCTCAGGAAGAAAGGTGTTCCTAAGCGAGCCACAGCCAGCGAGCAGCTGCAGCCCACGCCCCTCCCAACCCTTGCCCCCCTCCCCCCACCCACAGGCTGCGGGGAGCACAGTGAGGGGTCCCAGGAGCCTCCACAGGGGTGGGGTGGAGGGCATTGGTGCTGGAGAAGACAGGATGTCTCCCCCAGATCTCACCAGCGGAGGGGAAGCCGCCTGAGGGCAAGGGCAAAGGATGGCCTGGCACTAGGAGGAGTTCCCTGTGAGAAATCTGCGGAGGCTCAGCAGTGGAGACACCAGGATTTTCCACTGTGCGACAAGCGTCAGGGACCAGCTGAGGGAGACACTGCCTCTGCCCACCGCACCCTGCCTTTCCTCCCACAGACGCGTAGGTGGCCCCAGCAGCATGCCAGGCCCTGTGCTTGTCCAGGAGACGGAGCCAGGGGAGCAGGTGCCGCGCTCGGGGAGTCCAGGCCGGCAGGGAGAAGGCACGTGGGCAGCAAAGGGACACTGCGAGGCCGGGGCAAAGTCCACGGGCGCTTGGGGGTGAGAGAGGCCATTTCTGGTTTGGAGGAGCAGGTTCTGGAAGAGTGAGCCTTTGAAAAGCAGCTAAAAAAAAAAAAAAAAAGGCACTGGAGAGGTCAAGAGTCAAGAGTGGGGAGCCGTGCAGACAAAGGCAGGAACATGGCGAAGCCCAGCGTGCGAGGCTGCAGGTGACCCCCGCATGGGCTTGTTCTGTGGGAAGGAGCTTGTGGCCTCTAACCAGCATGCTGGGTGTTAGATGACTCAGTGGGAATGGAGAGGCCATACCATGATTTTAGCAGAGGGGTGGCAGGAATAATGCTGAGCCTCAGCCTCAGAATCTGGGTGCTCCTTCCTCTACTTAACTCACTGGGTGAACTTGAACAGCTCAGCTACCTCCCTCCGGTTCAGTTTTCTGTGAAATAGGAGGCTTTAACCAGATTGATATTCACTATGCTGAAACCGAATGGGCCCCTCCCACCCTGACAATGCAGGGGTTCATGAAAGGGCTGTGCCCCCTCCTTCACCGTGGGCTCCTTCAAACCTGCCCCCCTGTTTGCAGGCCTGTCTGGCTCCTCCTTGCTCATCACAAAGTCTGAGTACAATCTGCTCAAATTTCCCCAGGCAGCTGCGATTCGTGCCCACGAAGACACATCCATCCTGCCACAATCAAACAAGAGTAATAGACAGCAGCAATCACATGCCTCAGGTGATGCCAGTTGTTCGATGCTCAGCACGGGTCCTTGCACCCTTACACCTGATCATTCATTTAATCCTCACCAGAATCCTCTGAGGTGGGTGTTAGTATTGCCCGTCTCTCTAAATGATTAAGGGGGAGCTGGGAAGAGTTTCTCTATAAAAGGACACAGAAGCAGCGAACTGCCTGGAATAAGCTGCCTTGAATTTGCCTTGAAAGAGCATTTGCCAGTTGAGTGCTCTGATTTTACTTAGTATGTTTAAGATCGATAAAAGTGGATTTTGGGGGAAAAACAATAATCCAGATCATGCAATATTTGTTTGTTTGTTTCTGTTTGCTTGTTTTTGAGACAAATTGTTTGTTTGTTTTTGAGATGGAGTTTCACTCCATTGTCCAGGCTGGAGTGTAGTGGCACAGTCTCAGCTCACTGCAACCCACCTCCCGGGTCCAAGCAATTCTCCTGTCTCAGCCTCCTGAGTAGCTGGGACTACAGGCTCCCGTCACCACACCTGGCTAATTTTTGTATTTTTAGTAGAGATGAGGTTTCACCTTGCTGGTCAGGCTGGTCTCGAACTCCTGACCTCAGGTGATCCACCCACCTTGGCCTTCAAAGTGCTGGGATTACAGGCGTGAGCCACTGCGTCCAACCAATATTGTTGTTTTGAGGCCTTCGTGAGTGCTGATAGAGATGGGGAGTCTACAGTCCCTTCCAGAGTCCATAAGGGATGGGAGTTGGGGAGGGAGGCCAATGAGTTCCTGAGGCCTGGGAATGGTGTTTAAATCAAAGGAAGGAGACCCTCTATTTTGGAGGATCATAAGGAAGGCCAAGAAACTGTAAGGACACCTTTTCCATGAAATTATTTCTCAGCATCGCAGTCTACCCCTTTGGCTGCTTCCTGCATGCAGGGGTGTTAAACTCACCCCTGCTGGGGAAGGTTCCTCTAGGAAGCCTGTGCCTACAGCCCCCCACCCCTCCACAAGAAGAAGGGGGCTGGCAGGAGTGTCACTTTTCACTACAGGAGCTCTCCTGGAGCCACCTTCCTCTGGTTGTATAAATGGGGCAAGGGTTCTGAGTCTCCCTGGGCTTATGTGACCTCTAGGCAAACCATTCTTCCCCTGCTTACATACCCAGGATACCATAGAGCAAATAACAAAGGGACGGAATCAATCTAATGAGATCAGAGGGACAGTTTCGAAAGCACAGAGCAGTATACAGATAAGGCTGTTAAAGCCCGTCTTGAAAGATATGAAACACTCTAGAGGCAAAGACACAGTGTCAATACCAAAAACATGTACAAGGGGAAGAAAGCCCATGTTTCTAGCTGCTTTTCTTTACACCTCCCCTTCTCCCTCCTTCCCTCTGTAAACCAAAAATAAAATTTGAATCCCCCCAACTGACTGACAGACCCCCATCTTGGCCAAGGGTTTTCCAAAGTGAGCCTGAAAATCTATTCCAGGCCATGTTGGGAAGTGAGGGTTGGACATGGCTCGCTGTACCCTCCTCGCTTTGGAATTCAAGCACGACCAATCAGCATTAACATTAAAACAGAGATCTTAAGACTGACCAGACTGTTGCAATAAGACACCAACACGACGGGTGGCAGGCCCTGCAAGAAATGCAAGTATTTTACCCCAAACTATATGTGTTTGACATATTTTGAAATGGCTCTGTAATGCGGTCTCTTGTGGGAAAATTCCCGTTCTGTAGAGAATTCCCTTCCATCTCGCAGGTCTTTTCCCTGATCCAGCAGAGAGCTGACTAAGAGTCTGGCACCTTCTAGGTCTGACAAGAGCTCTGAAGCCTGCTATCTGGAGGCTTCATGCGCATGATAAACCGTGGTCTCCACAACACCTCCCCACCTTCTCCCCAACGTCCTCCCCCACCACCATCCCGCTTCACCCAGACATTCCTTTCTACTGGTTCAAGGTCTTTAGATAAAAACTCTTTCAACCCATTGCTAAACAGAAAATCTTTGAATCCACCTACGACTTGGAATCCCTCCCTACCGCCTGCCCACCTGCTTGGTTTCCAGCCAAACCAATACACATCTTACATGTATCGATTCATGTCTCATGTCTCCCTACCAAACTGTAGCCTGACCACCTTGGGCACGTGTTCTCAGGATCTACTGGGGCTGTGTCACAGGCCATGTTCACTCCTATTTGGCTTGGAATAAATCTCTTCAAATATTTTAGTTTGACTCTTTTCATCAACGCCTTCCCTTGTTTCCAGATTAAAACCTGTGAAAACAAGAGCCAGCTCACGTGCTTCCAGTAAACAGCAGTGCAGTCCTCACGCCCCTGTCTGAAAGAGGGAGCTTCCTTCTGGGCAAGAGGAACTCAAGCAGGGAGGGATACAGAGCACCAGGGCTCTGGGCTCTCTCTCAGCCCAGCACCCAGTGGGACCCGGCCAGGCAAGGGCATGTGGCAGGCACTGGGCAGCTTGTGTGGACACAGCCCTGGCCTGACCACATGCTCCCTGCCTTCAGGGTTCTCTTGGGGAACATGGACGCGGAACTTCAGCAATGCAGTCACCGTTATGGACAGGTGACCAGAGTCAGCTCTGAGCCTTGGACTGGGAGGGAACAGGAACGAAGAGAATGCTGGTGGGTTGGGGACACTATCCAGGAAGGCTGCCCCAGGGAGGAAGTGCCAAAGAAAACTGGCAAGGTGAATAGGGACCTGGGTTCGCTCACTCATTTATTCATTCTTTCCTTAACAAACATTTGCAGAACCTATTAAACTCCAAACACTGCTGAGGTACTGAGGACAGTTGTGAATAAAAGACAATTCCTCCCTTGGAGAAACTTACAACCCAGAGGAGAGGACAGACACATCTATAAACAATTACAGCCCTCAAGAAAGGTAAGGGCTGCATCCAAATATGTACCAGTCCATGTGTGAGCAGAGAGGGTGTATGGGCACGCTGACCTGGTCGTGAGCAAGGGGTAAAAAGTGGGGGCTTCCAGGCAGACAACAGGGAAGGCTCGCCAGACAGAGGGGCACAGGAAGACAGAGAGAGAGAGAGAGAGAGAGAGAGAGAGAGAGAGAGAGAGAGAGAAATGCCACAAGGACCAGCTCATTGTCTCTCCTGGCTGAGGAAGTAGGTGCCCTGGGGGAGAGGAAGTAAGGAGACAGGAAGTCTGAACTCAGACCAAGAGGGCTGTGAGTGAGCAGCTGCAAGGTCTGGGGGCTCCTGGAGGATGCTGGCAGGAGAGGATGTGACTCTCCTAACCTGAGAAAGGAAGGACAGGATGGGCTGGCAGGGGAGGGGAACACAAGGTGCTGAGCCGGGGTGGCTGGTGAGGACAGGAGAGGCCCAGCAGGGGAGGGAGGGCAGTCTCAGAGGGAGCAGGGCCTCCTTCAGTGCTTGAAATGAGGCCAGGTGCTGATGATGTTGTACAAAGCCTGCCCAGGGGACAGGATGTCGACCACGTCACTGTGGCCCATCAGCAGGTAGTTGGGAGTCAGGTACCCCTCGACCACGGCACACTGGATCAGGTCCTGGGCCGCCTCCAGTGCTGCAGCATTTGGAGGCTTTTCTGCAAAACACAATTTCCCCATCAGTCATTAGGGTCTCAGAGTTTCTTGATCAAGGAAGGAACAAGCACCTAGATTCCAATTTCCCTCTTCCCCCACCCTGCCCCATTCCACCATCACCATAGCCAACACTTTCCCATAAATTGTGGCAACCAGGCGCAAACAGAAAACAAGGTCATTGCTTTCTCTGACGCCTCCGTGCCAAAGTTTCTTCCAGAAAGTTTAAAAACTGCTCTGGAGGAGGACTGCAGCACAGCACACTTCTGAGCAGGTACAAAGCAGTTACAGCACCACCGGGCCGCCTGCTGGTTTCCAAACAGGCAGTGGTGCTCCCCAAATTGTTGCCATGACTACCAAGAGACGGATGCGTTTGCCAACTGAGGGATAAAAGCACTGACGTTTGCAAAAGACTTTTTCCCCCCCTTGCTCCATGTTTGCCTTGGATATAAAGTGAGGTGGAGCTGGGCATGGGCATGGGTGGATTTGGGTGTAAATGCTCTGTGTGAAAGGGTATCCTGGTGACATCCTCTGTTGAGAGTCCACTTTAAAGCTAAAATGTTCCACTCACACTGCCAGACACCACAGGGCTGCCTTTGCCCCCACGTTTCCCAGACATGCCACGTGGTCCCTCCACCCCCAGCACCCCTCTAACCCCATGCTCATCCCTTACCTACGAAGTTGCCGATGAAGGCAATTCCTAGGGCAATATCATTGAATCCGTAAGTGTGGGAGCCTTGGATGTACCATCCAACCCCTTCATACACGCCACCATCCTGGCCCACCAGGAAGCTTGGATCGGGAAAAGAAAATGAAGAAAGTCACTCTGGGAATACTTCACTCCTTCAACCATTCATTCCTTCTTTCATCCATTTATTCAATATGGGTGGGCATCTCTTATGTGCTAATGTGGACAAGGGAAAAACAAAACACATCACAATCCACTTCAACCTGGCCTTAGTTCCCACCACACCACGGAATCTGACCCCTCTAAGGTGAGCAGTGGCTTCCTGGCCCAAAGTGCAACGGACACTTATTTTACTTCTGCACTACGCTGACGCCGTTGACCACTCTCTTAAAATGCACACCCCTCCTGGGTCTCCTCGCCCTGCTCTCCCTCAGGCCCCTCTGCCACCCGCCTTCCCTTCCTCAAACCGGTGCTCCTCTGCCCTCCGGTTTGGTTCCTTTTCTCTCTCAATGTATTTGCCCTGGACAATCATTCCCACAGATTCAAGTACTAGTTTAAAAACCTGTCCAGGCAAACCCACCTTCTTCTAAAATTTCTCCAGCTAGGAGATTGGACAACACCCTGAATGCCTTCCGCCCTTCACTCAGCCCACCTGGCCACTAGTCAGAGCTTGTCAACTGTAACTCCTACACAGCTTCTAAATTCCTTCACTTCTCTCTAGCCCGACTGCTCCAAGTCACTGGATCACTGCAGTAGCTTCTTGCCAGAGTTCTGCCTTCTTCCAGTCCATTCTTAAAGTAGCACCCAGAGTGATTTTTCTAAGATACGAATCCTACCATACGGCATGACCTCCTAAATAGTTTGCAGCTGCCTTTCAAATAGAGTCAGTCTCTCTGAGACCACTATGAAGCCCTCCACAATGTGGCCCCCACAAGCCCTCCCACCCGTACTGCTCACCACTCCTCTCTTTCAAATCTATTTGCAGTGCTCTGTCTGTACCCCATGCACTGGCAAATGCTGTTCCTCCTCACCCAGACACTCTTCCTCCTTCTTTGCCTGAATAACCTCAACTCCCCCTCCTTATCCATGTTCCAATGAGGATACTCCTCCCTCTAGAAGCCCTTCTCAGACCCCAATCACCCCCTGCAAAGTTTTGATTAGAGGCTCATCCTGTACATTATTCTGTTCTGCATCCATCACAGTGCTCAACAGTTTGAATTGTAGTTACTTGTCATCCTTCCCTCTCTCCTAGCACTGAAAGTTGTCAGAATCAAAATGGAGTCACTTGTGTCAAATTCTAACAAAAATAAATAAAGCTGGGAGGTTGAGAAGGGAAGACCCTCATGCCCACGAGCCTGCAATAAGAACGAGCACAAAGACTCTCTGAAGGACTCTTAGGCACTCATCCCTGTAACAAGAACTTTTGCCAAAAACTTTCGAAACTGCAACTTATTACTAGTCACAAGGACATCTGGCCGATGGGGAACCCTTGCCCGACACGCTGTCTCCACGAATGAGGTGGTGCCACTTCCTGCCTCCTGGGATAAGCATCAACGTTCTCCAGTGTTCCTTTATTTCAAAACAAATTATACTTTTCCCTTTGCCTTTAAAAGCTTCCCCTAGCCTCAACCTCTTTGGATATGCCTGTGGTTCCCACAGCATGCATATCCCAGATTTGCAAATTTCCTGCACACTCCCAAATAAACTAATTATCTTTGTTTTCTTGCTTTTGGTTTTGTTTTTTCAGACAGGGTCTCGCTCTGCTGCTCAGGCTGAAGGGCAGTGGCACACCATGGCTCACTGCAGCCTCAAACTGCCAGGCTCAAGAGATCCTCCCTCTTCAGCCTTCCGAGCAGCTGGGAATGACTCAGGATGCATGCCACCAAGCCCGGCTAATTATTCTGTTTTTCTATACAGATAAGGTCTCCCTGTGTTTCCCAGGCTGGTCTCAAACTCCTGACCTGAAGCAATCCGTCAGCCTCAGCCTCCTGAAGTGCTAGGATTATAGACACGAGCTACAGTGCCTGGCCAAAATCATTATCTTTGGAGAATCTCTCTCTGTTTGTTGTCAGATTGACATATCTTGTCTAGCACGAGGCACATAGTAGCTACCCAATAACTATCGATGAAAAAGCTAGAAAGTAATGTGTGAGTGGGTGCTTTGTCCTGATTACAGTCCACATCAGAGTTACAGATGACATGTCATGAGACTAGAGCAGGAGAAGGATATTGCAACAGGTTTTGAAAAGTCAAGGAACAGGGATTGTGTCTCTAAAGACTGAATGAAAGAGGAAAACAAACATTCCCTCAACTTCTAGCATTTTCCATGTGGAATTTCCAGATTTATAGTCCATTTCCCGTTACCTGTGCTAAATAACCATAGCACACCTATGGAAAATCCTGAAAAGTGAAGCAAGAGTTCCCTCCTGTTTGCAAAGGCTGCTTTTAAAGCAGGAGTTCAGGCCGGGCACAGAGGCTCACGCCTATAATCCCAGCATTTTGGGAGGCTGAGGCGGGCAGATCATGAGGTCAAAAGATCGAGACCATGGTAAAATCCCGTCTCTACTAAAAAATACAAAAATTAGCTGGGTGTGGTGGCGTGCACCTGTGGTCCCAGGTACTCAGGAGGCTGAGGCAGGAGAATTGCTTAAACCCGGGAGATGGAGGGTGCAGTGAGCCGAGATCGCGCCCCTGCACTCTAACCTGGCACCTGGCAACAGAGCAAGACTCTGTCTCAAAAAAAAAACAGGAGTTAAAACGGAGAGAGTCAGCAGGCCCAGAACAACACATTTGCAAAAGCATATTTACCTGAGACTTTGTAAGATATGTTGTGATTAAGTCACAGATGAATACTTGAAATATATTATACTCTAGCCCTAAATCCTTCCTATGAAAATTCCAAGACATTGTCCAAGTAGCTTTTCTACTCCATTAGTTTAATGTGTTTCGTTATTACAGACCTGGCATTAAAGGTACCAAAAGAGAGCATTTTGATCTCACTCCCTATCTTCAAACAGATAAAGTATTTTCCCTATTGTAGAGATAAGACAAAAGAGGCCCAGAGAGGTTAAAAGTTTCTAGATCCATAGAATGTGGTAAGTAACACCAGAGGAATAGCAGGATTCTAACATTGGAAAGAGCGAGTTTGGAGCTGGGCAGAATGAAATAGGGGCAAGCAACGCCTTTGTCTCTGATAGGTTAGAAGGAATTGCATAAAAAAGGCACAACCCCAGTGTGTGATGCTCCCTTCCCTGTGTCCATGTGTTCTCATTGTTCAGCACCCGCCTATGAATGAGAACATGCAGTGTTTGATTTTCTGTTCTTGTGTCAACAGAACTGGGGAGGGACACTGGGGGGTGGGGGGTTGGGGAGGGATAACATGGGCAGAAATGCCAGATATAGGTGATGGGGAGGAAGGCAGCAAACCACACTGCCATGTATGTACCTATGCAACAATCTTGCATGTTCTTCACATGTACCCCAAAATCTAAAATGCAATAAAAAAATTTTTTTTTTAATTTTCAACAGAAAAAAAAAAAAAAGGTGCAACCCTTCATGTCCTTTTCTGAGGGTATCACAGTCTTGCTTTATCACTAAGCTTCTAATGCCTTCTCTTCAGAATCTTCCCAACCACTTGTAGAGATAAGCCCAAGCGAGGTAACCAACCATTAGCTATGCTCTGAGTGATCCTCAGCCCAGTCTTGCAAACATAAAATGTGTTGCCTTATGGAAAGCACCCAGCCCAAAGGAGGGGTTCAGGAAACATCGGTTCCCTCTCACAGCCTTCCTTCCTACAATCCTGAAGAAAAAGAGGGTTGTCTTTGGGTTGATCCCACTTACTGATAGCCGATGTCACAAAAGTTCCGTGTGTCCATGTGAAAGGACTGTGTATTTCGGACGACAGTCTGGCAGTCTATGGGTACAGGGCAGCTTGTGCCAGCGGTGTGGATGATGATGACGTATTTGGCTGGGAGGTTCATTTTAGGACAGTGTGTCTCTCTGGCTTCCCAAGCAGATCGTTTGATGATGTTGGGACAAACTGTGGTAAGATGAAAAGCCAAAAAAATAGGAATTTGCTTTTGCTTCCCTGAGAGCAATCACTTAACTACAGGCTGGATTATTCCTCAGCTTCTCCCAGGCCTCCAGCACCCACAAGCACATCCTAACGTAAGATCGTCCGTGGGATTCTGGGCAAGTCCAGATGGAGATTTTCTGGGTCAGATGGCTGGAACCAAGGGGCTGGGGCAAAAATCTACAGGCCTGATACCTACAGAAATCAGTGTACAAGCAGAAGGGGAAGGACTGTGGGTTATATATAGGCATGGTCGTTGTCTTCAAAAGACCATGCATTGCAAACACATGTACAGGTGTGTGTGTGCTTATGTAACAGGGCCACTGTGCAGAAGTCAGCGGACTGTCTGAACTGATCACATGTATTTGTGGAAACAATTTGAAATCTAGAAAGAACTAGACAAATATTAAGGAATTATCACTATTGAAGATAGTGGCTGTCCAAAAGCAAGAAACATTTTATTTAGAGATTCGCAATTTTAAAAAGCTAATTTAAAAAATATCATTGATCCAAAGTAAAGGTCCACAGTAGCGAACGTGCAAATAGTGTATGATTTTTCTTACTCAGCTTTTTGTTATATGTACTCTGATGTCAGCATCATCTGTGAACGCAAGTTCTTCTCTGAGCTGTGGCTGTGCTGGAGTTTGGCTCGTTTTTGTGTCTAGAAAGGTATGTGCGTTTATGTATGTTTTTGTGTCCCCACATAATGGACACAAATATGTATACAAGTTTACCCCACTCCATTCCCACTCTGTTTTTTTCCATTGTAGCCTCTATGCCGTCTAACATCGCATGTATTTACTTGTTTTGTTCATTTTCTGTCTTTTCTCATTGAAGTGCAAGCTTCCTGAAGGTGAAGTTTCATCTGTTTTGTTCACAGCTGTATGCTCGGTACTCAGAACAGTGCCTGCTATGCAGCAAATATTTGTTGATTGAGTGAACATCTGTGTACATATGTATTTAAGAAAAAGACCATGGCTATGTCGTTCTGATGGGATGGAGAGGATGCCAGAAAGATGCCCTCTCAGAATTTTCCAGCTCTCAAAATAGGTATGAGATGTTCTTGGTCCCAGCATCCCATGGAGTTTAACAGAGAAAAAGCACTCCCAAACATGGCTGGGTGGCAACAGGGAAGGTGAGGTGGCATGGAGGGTCTTACCTTTCCTGGGCATCACTGGCTGTTGAGGGTCCAGGCAGATCTCTTCTTTCAGAAGAAGTGGCTGAATATACCTGGGCGACAGGTGACCCTTCTGGATGGCATAGGAGATCAGACCCTCTGCAGCTGAGAAGGCAGCGGGGCTGGGACTGCCGCCTTAAGGAGGAGCAGAGACCGGTCAGTAAGAAACTCCACCTGGCCTAGGCAGCTGAAGGGAGGATGATATGACCACCTGAGCCTGAATCACTGGATTGAAAGAGAGGAAACTGGCCCAGTTTGCCAGAACAGAGGGCCTAAGAGGCAAGAAATCACCTGGATCTCTCAGCAGTCAAAGTTGACAACTTCTTCCAAGAGCCAAACTAAGACTTTATCCACTCCATCTCTAGGCAAAAGAGCTGGAGGGCAGTGACAAATACATGCAGAGGAAGGCGCACCTGACTGAGTTAGGTATGCACTAGCACAGGAGAAAAGACAACCAGGATTAACTTGTATCTCCCCTGATCGGGTGTGCAGTAGACTCTGTGTATCCGTTAACTCATAAACCTCACAGAAAACCTCTGAGAGAAACACTGTTACCTAGCCCCAGCTGTCAGATGAGGATGCTGGCAGGTGTTGGTTCCATATGTATTATTTCTCAACTCCATCCCTGTTCTGTGCTTTCCTCTGTTTTTCTGGAGGCTAGAAGCCTGCAAGTTATAGCTCCAGATTTCCTTGCCTGCTGCCTTCTGGTTCGTTTCTATCAATGGAAGAAACTGGAAGAAGAGAGGAGCCAGGCTTCTCTGCCTCTGGCAGTCGCAGCATCTATGTCAGACAACCTCAACTACAGAAGTGATGGCAGTAACTGTGAGCTCAAGCAATGTCTGTGCTGGCGTCAGCAATATCACAGGAGTGCGGACCCGTAAAGAGGAAGAGGACAGAAAGTATGCATGTCGCAGAATCCAAAGCAGAAAAGAACTTCAAGAGAAGGGCGATCATCAGAGAAGATAAGTATGACGTAGGGTGAAAAGATGAGTGTGGAACCCGGGGAGCCGAGGAGGAGAGTGTATGCAACTCTCCAGCACAGGGTCCGCAGGGAGTGACCCTTACCTCTCTTACTGCCAAAGAAGGCGATGCCCAGGGAGACGTTGTTGTAGCCCTGGGTGTGCAAACCTTGGATGTTCCAGCCAACACCTTCGTACACCCTGCCATCATCCCCAACCAGGAAGCTGCCAAGAAGGAAATAGTGGGTTTACTGGCAAATGTCCATCAGTGAAAACCTCTCACTGATCCTCGAAAGGAAAAGGGGTTCTGGAGGCTCATAAATAAGTACTATGTTCCAATAAGATAACAATGGGAGGCCAGAATAACCAGTTTTAAACCTCCAAGAGACACAGGAATGTTTTTGTTTTTTTTTTGTTGTTGTTGTTGTTTTTTTTGAGACGGAGTTTCGCTCTCGTTACCCAGGCTGGAGTGCAATGGCGCGATCTCGGCTCACCGCAACCTCCGCCTCCTGGGTTCAGGCAATTCTCCTGCCTCAGCCTCCTAAGTAGCTGGGATTACAGGCACGCGCCACCACGCCCAGCTAGTTTTTTGTATTTTTAGTAGAGATGGGGTTTCACTATGTTGACCAAGATGGTCTCGATCTCTCGACCTCGTGATCCACCCGCCTCGGCCTCCCAAAGTGCTGGGATTACAGGCTTGAGCCACCGAGCCCGGCGGAATGTGTTTTAATTTCTGTTGTGACTTAGCTTATGTGTGTTTTCCAGAACGCCACTTTAAAAATACTCACTTGGTTCAAAGTGGAATTTGAATGTGTGACACTCAAGGACCTGAAAATATTAGTCCAATACTTTTTAAGAGCTTAAGAATTAATATATTGTGTTTTTAAATTATAGGACCAAGCACTTGAACATTCTCTAAAACAGTTATGTCGGATTCAACAGTTTCTTTTATATTGATGCTTTTCTTCAGTTTCTTTTTAGGAATTTTCTTAAGCTCTTCTTTATCATAGAAATTTGTTTAGGATGTTCCTTTTTCAGAGAGGGGAACAGCACACACAGGGGCCTGCTGGTGGGTGGGGGGCTAGGGGAGGGATAGCAAGGAATGGGGGGATTGGGGAGGGATAGCATTAGGAGAAATACCTAATGTAGATGACTGGGTGATGGATGCAGCAAACCACCATGGCACCTGCGTACCTATGTAAAAACGCTGCACGTTCTGCACATGTACCCCAGAACTTAAAGAATAAAAAATAAATTTTTAAAAAGTTTAAAAAAGTACATTCAGAAGAAAAAAAATAGTTTCTTTTTAACATTCATTTTTAAAATCAAATATATGTTGTTTATTCTCCTTTTATTCCTGCGCTTTTATAATTTCTCTCCTCCACTTTCCAACCGGTCTTCAGAATTGATGTTTTCACAACTTTGCCGTATCCAGCTTTTAATGGATCATGAGTTTCCACAGTAAACTGAACACAGAGAGAAAACCTCCCTGAGGTCAGGGAAAGGCGCTACACGGAGGTCAGCCTGAGGAGTGGGTGGGGAGCCCTGGCGTGTTCACCTCTCCCCTGGTTTTGCTGCCCATTCTTTCACAGGTCCCTTGCTCACTCCTGCAGCAGCCTGTGGATAGTCCACTGTGAACAGTCCCTTACAGCTACTGTCGGCTGCATTGCAAAGACTGACGATTGTCAAGAGTGTCACTGCAGAAACCTGACTTGGAGACACAATGGCTGCAATAACTTAGGAATACAGTGACCAAACCAGGCCACACGGCAGTGACAGCAGCAGGATGGTGGAGGAGCTGGTGGCAGGGGCGGCAGGTGAGTCATGGTTGACACAGCACGCACGGTAGGCAGACAGGGAAGACCCCGCCATCCCAGGGGTGCTGCGGGCCACAGCCAGGGCCTGCCGCTGCTCTTCTTTGTGTTTAAAAATAAATAAATAAGAAGACATAGGTTTTCCTTTCCAAAATGGATAATTCAGAAATCATTTATGTTTGCCTTTAGAGTTCCGTGGGGGCTAGCCCCGTTCCCGCTCTCTCTTTCCCTCTCCTTCTACATCTGTCTCCTCATTCTTCATTCTTGCGGCTAAGGGGGAGAATGTTCTGGGCCTCCACGATGATCCCCAGAGCGGATACTCAATGCACAGTGCACGGCTGCTTCGTGCTCTCCCTTGTTTTCCCACGGGGCTCTGCTCCCCACCATTCCCAATGCCCACTCTCCCCCCGTGGGGTCCCCGACCTCGCTGTCAGAGTGGCCCTTCAGGGAAATGAGTGGGACACCACTTCCCACGTATGAGTCCCTGGGAGGTGGGAGGGGCAAAGGCTGCAGTGGCAGGCACCGTGACACAGCTCTGGCTGGGGACACGCTGCCTCGCTCTCGGCGGGGTTCTTCATCCCCTGAACCGTGGCTTTCCCACTTGTGAAATAAAGATGGGAATATTTCTCCAACCCCTTCCTCAGAGTAGCTGGGAGGGCCGAACTGGGTGACAGTTGTGAAGACCTCTGTAAACTGTAAGCCTTCACGAGTTCCAAGAGCCCAGTTGGAACCGCAGTTGTCGCATAACCTTCCTCGCTTTTTCACAGGAGCACCAGAATCGAAAGCCACTTAAGTAAGTGGCTTAGAGTCACCCCTTTTACAATCCCCGGAGGATTCGGATTTTATTTCATTTCCTTTTTACCATTTTTATTCATTATACAAACAATGTAAATGAAGCCCAGAAAATAAAGACACACAGAGAAGGGGGAAGTGGAAGCACCCTGAGGGGGTGACGTTGGATGCAGGCCTCGGGGACGTGGCCAACCTCTTACTTGTATGCCACATCGCACCAGCCTGTGGTGTAGACAGAATGGGACTGCAGCCCCCGCAGCATCTGGCTGCAAACGCTCTGCTCCTGGCACTCCATCCCGGGGAGCTGGTCTGTGATGACGTAGGCCACAGGCAGGGTCAGCCGGGCACTGCAGCCCAGCGGTCTTGCCCCCCATTCCTTGCGGGGGATAATGGTGGGAGTATCTGCAGGGAAGACCACAGGATGGCACATAGCAGGCCCTGCCCATCTTCCCCCAACAGGCCGTCCATGTACCCTGACCACTCGCTCTCAGGCCCTCCCTGCCCCATGGGTGGGAGACGCCCTGGGGGAGCCCTTTACCCCCACGGCCCCCTCCTCCTCTCCACTGTAGCTGAACCGCTGCCCAGACACACGCTGCCCTCAGCCTGGGAAGTCGTGCCACCTTGTTCCCGGACGGTCTCTCCTTGTCTTTCCCTGACGGGCAAATCCCATCCCCTACTGCCCCCTGGCCTACTTCATACTTTCCTCCTTCAGAAAGCACCCCAGCTGACCCCGCCACCCACCCTGGCGCTCTGAGCTGGAAGCCTGAGGATGCGCGTTCCTCACTGCCATTAGCCCTGGTCTCAACTGCGTCTCTCGCGTTGCCCTCCCCTAAGAGCCATGACTCTCTGAAGGAAGTTCTGTCAGCCCCTCAAACAGGGGTTCCAGAGCCCACAGGAGGCTCCATGAACACGGGGTCTGCGCCTCTCTCTTCCAGGCAAGAACTGCCTAGTGGCAGGGCTGTGAGATCCCACGTGTGGCTGTGGGCTGCCTGAAGGCTCTCTTTCTCCATCCTCACTGTGGGAGCCCCAAGAGTGCTCTGAGGGACGGTGGAGACACTGTCATGCTGGAGCTGGGGAGTGGAGAACATGTCTTTTCTCTATGGGTTTTTTCTCCTTTTTCTCCTCTGTCTCTTTTTTTGAGACGGTGTCTGGCTCTATTGCCCAGGCTGGAGTGCAGTGGCACCATCTCAGCTCACTGCAGCCTCTGCCTCTCTGGCTCAAGCAATTCTCCTGCTTTAGCCTCCCGGGTAGCTGGGACTACAGGCACGTGCAATCACACCTGGCTAACTTTTTGTATTTTTAGTAGAGATAGGGTTTCACCATGTTAGCCGGGATGGTCTTGATCTCCTGACCTCATGATCCACCCGCCTCAGCCTCCCAAAGTGCTGGGATTACAGGTGTGAGCCACTGTGCCTGGCCTCCTTTCTTCCTTCATCTGGGTTTCTCTTACTTTTCTCTCGTTAGGCCCAGGAACCCCCCTTTGCCTAAGGACTCAGGACGATCCATGGAAGTGGTTGGAGATGAACCTCTTGAGATTCCTCCCCACCTCATTCACTCTCAACCCAGACATCGTCAAGTCCTGAGAAAGATTTCTGACCGCTTAAGAAACCCCAGCCAATTTCCAAACTGCCTCACCATTGCGACTCTTGTGAATAAGCTGTGAGATGCCGACAAACAGGTTCATAAACCTCTGCGACAAGCCTCTGGCTTCGGTCTCATTCCAGGAGAACTGTGGAAAATCCCCTGCAAGAGAGCATTGGGGCTGGTCCTCAGAGTGCACGTGGCCAGCATGCGCAGAGGCTGGGCCAGACATCCCACTCCACAGTGCACAGCCTCTCACGTCACCTAACGTCCTCTAGGAAGCACACAGAGGAGAACCACAGATGTCTCTGGCCTCGGCCTGCCTCTGCCTCCCACATCTGCCCAGAGAGGCCTTCATCTTCCCACCTCCCCCAGCCTCCCTCCATTCCAGGAGCACCGCAGTCTCACCTGCTGTCTTATCTGGGCTGTGCCACCTGTCCCGGTTCACCTGCAGACTTACTAATCAACCCATGGGTACCCAGCAGGGTGTCACATACCAAGACAGTCGTAACATGTTGAGCTAACACACACATCTTACGCACCTATTGGTGCCAGACAAGGTTCTTGGAACAGAAATATATAGATCATTGTGACTGCCTTCCAAAACTAGACGTTTTAGAGACGCTTTATTGTGGATTAGACACCGCCAGCCTGTCCTTATCCCGGCTACTCCTATTCAGTACCAGGAGTCCTGGAAGAAGTCACCAGTGGCAGCAGTGACATTGTCACCAGCCCCACCTCTCACAGGCCAGCCCTGTGGTTACAAAGCACATCCAAGGACACTCTCAGAATTGTGACTTGAAACAACTTCATGAGTTAAGCAAAGCAACTACGCTCTCAATACAGAAGGGAAACCAAGTCTTAGGGAAGTTAAGTTACTTGTCTAACATAACAGAGGTTTAAGCACAGATTTAGATTCCAATCAAAATCTCTGACCCCGAAGCCCTTGTTCATAACAACTGCACCCTGCAGCCTCCCCAAAGTTGTCGGATGAACTTGGGTTAGTCACTGCCACAATGTGACCTGTTTCTCTTCCTACAAGACAAAATCGCTGAGGTTCTCCACCATGGTTCTGGGATTCTGTTCTTCTGTGAAATCGAGAGCAAATACATGACCAGGACACCAAGGCCAAGGTGTGCCGGATAGATAGACTGCTGAGGACGGGAGCCCACCTCACAGGGAGAGGGCCGGAGCTGGGTTGTGAAGGCGGGGAGCGGGAGGGAGCAACCTGGAGAGGACACTTTGCAAACAAAACCCACAGAACGCTCAGAGTGAAAGAGCAGCCTTCTGGCCGGGCGCAGTGACTCACACCTGTAATCCCAGCACTTTGGGAGGCCGAGGTGGGTGGATCACGAGGTCAAGAGATCGAGACCATCCTGGTCAACATAGTGAAACCCCGTCTCTACTAAAAATACAAAAAATTAGCTGGGCATGGTGGCACGTGCCTGTAATCCCAGCTACTCAGGAGGCTGAGGCAGGAGAATTGCCTGAACCCAGGAGGCGGAGGTTGCGGTGAGCCGAGATTGTGCCATTGCACTCCAGCCTGGGTAACAAGAGTGAAACTCCGTCTGAAAAAAAAAAAGAGCGGCCTTCCCCATCAGGGCCTCCGCTTCTCCATTCATACAGCCATACAGTGAAGGGCTGAACTGTGTATTCCCTGTCCTATGAGTTTGTCCAACACTAACTCCGGGTAATACCATTGAATTTGCTGTCAGAGTAGCAGAGGACAGAGAGAAAGCTAAATTACATTATTCCTTCAGAACAGGGTCTGTGTATGTCAGACAAACTGAAAAACAGGTCATACTTAAGAATCGCCAAGCCCACTTTCATTTTAATTCAACAGCATTTGTTTATTGAACATTTCTATGTGTCTACTCTTACGTATAAAACGATAAGAACTCTTCTTAATCTAGAGAAAGGGCGTTGCTACTCTTTGGGAATTTACTTTTATTTGCAAGTATAGACCCAAGGGCTGGGTTTCACTGTGATTGGTATAATAACGATGCTGATAATAATTAAATCATAGCTATAAATCACCCAGCACTTACTACTTGAGCATTGTGCCAAATGGCACACACTTGTGATCTAATTTAATCCTCAGAAACAACCCTAAGAAATGAGCAATATTATCCTTTTCTCATGGGAGTAAATAAGATTCAAAGAAATTGAATGACTTGTTGACCACCGTAACAAAGGGCAGGCAAGGATTTGAATGAAGATCTGTCAACTCTAGATCGGGGCTCCAAATTGCAAAGCTATCCACTCTAGATCGGGGCTCCAAATTGCAAAGCTATCCTACCCACTAGCAGAGGGAAAGCACTTGGATGGGTTTCTGTTATTAAACTTGAGAACGGGTCTTCTCTTGCTCATCAGAAGCACTTCTGATACAACGAAAGAAAACTTACCCCAGGCCTGGAGACCCAGAATGGAGAAGGCAAGAAGCCTCAGCAGCATGCCCACGTGGTCCCAGGACTGTGACCGCAAGAGCGTGGACGGTGGCCCTGGAAGAAACGCTGACAGTTAACACAGCCGGCTAACTCTGCAAGCGGAGCACCCGTCTATTATGCGGCACCACTGTCTGCCTCCCCTGCCATCCCGTGGCTTCCTGAGGGTCAGCACCTGGCTAGCTCCTGGTCCCTCATAGAAGCCCCAGTGCCTGCTCTTAGGCCTTTTGGGACAGAAAATAACAATTTCTAAAATCCTCGAGGTTGCTGTTTTGAAAAAAAAAAAAAAAAACCCTGTGTATGTATTTTCATATCTAGTGGTCCAATTTCATATTTAATTCTTAGAAAAGGCCTGTAAGATAAGTATTCTTAACCCCATTTTTATAGATAAAAAACACTGAGGCTCAGACAGAGTGAACTACAAACAGAAGCAGGCATGGATTTACCACCTGCACCATTTGGGAGTCCCAGGTATGTAAAGTCATTCAATTCAGTCCTCTACTCTGCAAAGACCCCTGATGGATGCTCAACTAACCTCTTCTTGAGTGAGAACCATAGTAACAAAAGCTGCCATTTACTGACTGCATTCTGTGTTCCAAGGTATTCGCTGAGGACTCCACGGATATTCACTAGTCTCACAATGACCTGTGAGACCCACACTTACCATCAGAACACTGGGCCTCAGACAGTTTGAGTCACTTGTCCTAAGTTTCCCAGCTGCTAGGGTCAGAGCCAGATTCACACCCAGGTCTGTCTGACTCCAGAGCCTCTGCCTGAAACTTCACAACCTGCTCAAGTTTCTGATGATGAACATTGAACTGAAGGATCACTATCGTCTTTTCCATCTCCAGGAATCTTTCCTGCTCTTCCAGGCAGAAGGGAATTGCTTACTCATGCTCAGTCAGACCAAAACTTCAACTCAATGAGCTACCAACCAAAACATCAACTCCCCCCACCACGCCACCAGTTTTCCTAGTGAGAAACTATAGAGTTTGAAACCAAATGGGATAGATCATTCCCCTTCAGAGTTTTTAAACTGCCATCAGTAGTCCCCAGATGGAAAATTTTTAAAACCACATCTTAAGAGTAGAACTTGTCTACTTCCTGAGTCAGAACAAGCAACAACCTAGTGGATAACACCCACAAGTCCATTGATTCAGGAAAACTGCAGTAAAGACAAAATGAGCCGATTACAAATGAGGCCAGCACCTAATAAATAAGAGGAAAAATGTTCAGCCTCCCTCGTTAGTTAAATGAGAGGTGAGGATTCACTTTCCCAAGACTGAAGCCCTGTTAGGAGTTGGCCTCCTGCAAAGCTACTGGAAGCCACTATCAACTCTGGTTTGGACCCTGGTCATTTAATCATGGTGCTTCCACAACCATGAAACTTCAGTGGCAATTCCTGCCCCAAGCTTGTCATATCATACATCCAAAATATGAAGGCTTGAGCCCAGTCCCTGGCTTTGCCAGAGACAGGACTGATATTGTCTCCCAACTGCACCATGAATAGCAAACACTGAACTGGCAGGGGAAGCTGGAGCCAAGGTTTTACCACCTTGGTTCACATCGCTGTGCATCCTGTATACTTAAAGAAATATTAGAGCAGGAGACAAGTGAGACATAGCAGATAAGAATTCAGGACTCTACAGAAAGGGAAGAAATTAGGTAGAGGTAACCCCAGAACCCACAGCCTTTTCAAGAAACATCCAGGAGGGGTGAAACCGAACTCACTTAGAAGAATTTAGAATAAAGAAAGTTTTCTTATTTGGAAAAAAGATTTCCAAAAGGGAGATCAGGGGAACTTTCCCTTCCATGTACACATTTTAACTTGATAGACTTCAGTCCCGTTGCTGGAAGAGGGCTTCTGAAGAAGAAACAGACTTACACTCAACTCACAGTGCGTCCTGTGCTGTCCCAGCCCAGCAGGTCAGGGGGCAGTCGGCTCACTCCTGATTGGCCAGCAGCTCCTTCCCTTCCAGACTTGGCATCCAGGCCCTGCCCTCCTTCTCCAGCTGGTGCCTCCTCCGGCCTTCACTCTCCCTGACCCTAAGGGCACTCCCTCCCTGGGAAAGGAACACTTGGGCTCTGGCTTCTCAGCCAGAAGAGGAGAGCCCAGGATCCCTAACAAAAGACAGAAGAGAAGAGGCAGGCAGAGGGCTGAGGCTCCGTTTACGGCACCTGGAGAAACTTAAACTGGGAACGCACTGAGAGCACCTGGGACCCGCCCTGTGAATAAGCCAGGCAGCTCCTCCCTGGGAAAGGGCAAGATTGCCCAACACTGCCCTGAGTTCCTTCTTCCTCCCCAGCCCTTATGCCTTGGCAGACCTGGAGTGCTGGGGGTTCTGTCCCTGACATCTGGGAGCTTCCTACCAATAAAGACCTATCTGCTCCAGGTTCCACTGGAGTCACCAGCCAGAGCAGGGTGAAGGGATGGAAATTGAAAGGCACTTTCCCAGGAGGCAGCTAGCAGTGTGTCATCATTATAACTTATTCGGACCCTGTAGCTACCATGCCCAGTTTATCTACCACCCTACCTCAACTTCAGACTCTTCCCCTGAAACAAACGAAGTTTCTCCCCTCCTCACCCATTCCTGACAGTTGCCCTCAATCCTCGACTCTGATCTCCAAGAATCCCTATCCCTTCTCTGAAGAGGTTGATGCATAAGACTTTTCAGTCAGGCTCTACCAGGGATGCCAGAGCTGTGGCCCCTTGGAAGGGGAATGCTCAGGCCAGAGGTCTTGGAAAGCACCGTGCACTCTTGAGAAGATAATTGTATATCCACTCTGTTCTATACACTGATGAGCCCAAAGCACACTTCAGGAACAAAAGCTTGGGAGACCTGTCCTAGATCCCGCAGCCTCACATGGCTGCCAGCATCTGAGGGAGACATGCTGAGTGAGGTCCGTTTCCCATTGGGTGGGGAATCTTGGGTGAGGGCCTCAGAGGTCTGGCAAGGGGACCAGGAATTACAGTTGGTGACAATGACAGACACCACCTTATGAGTCTGAAATTTTTATTTATGACTTCGGATGTTTTGCCATCATGAATAAGTCCTTAAAATGAAAGTGGTTTGTAAGTTCATCTTTAGAACAGCAAGTTCGGGAGAACTAAAGAGAATGTCTCTGAAGGCCAGACACGGAAGAGAAGAAACTCACGTGATAAAGGGGCAGTGGCAGCCCACAAAGGGAAAGGAAAATGGGTAGGACACTGCAGTCCCCAACTAGAGATCGGAGGACACCCAGGGATTAGCTGGCAGGAAGTCTGAAGCAAGACCGCTGTTATCCCATATGGTATTTTTATTAAAATTAGAGAAAGTGTTCCTTCCACAGGTAAAAGTTATAGCTAATAGGTTAATGCTAATGAAAACAATTAGAATAAACAGCTACTTTGTATAAGTTACGTAAATTGAATTATTAAACAAAATAGCCCTTTAAATTTTTAATCCCAATAATTAGGAACTCAAAGTCACTCAGATATAATATGTTGTGTAGTCGCCTTACTTTCTTTTCTTTCCTTTTTCTTCTTTTTAAATTTATTTTTGTTGTTGTTGAGATAGGGTCTTGCTCTGTTACAAGGCTGCAGTGCAGTGGTGCAATCGTGGCTCACAGAATCCTCAAACTTCCCGGTGTGTGTGCTCCCACCTCAGCTTCCCAAATAGCTGAGATTAGAGGTGTGCCACTATGCCTGGCTAATTTTTGTATTTTTGTAGAGAGGGGATTTTATCATGTTGCCCAAGCTGGTCTTGAACTCCTGACCTCAAGCAATTCACTTGCCTTGGCCTCCCAGAGTGCTGGGATTACAGGTGTGAACCACATGCCTGGCCTAGTTGCCTTACTTCCTAAAGAGAAATGATCCTGCTTGAAAGAATAATCTGTCATGTTGTGAGAAGGCCTATGAAGCGGGCCCCAGAGTGGATCTGAGAGAGGCCTCTGGGAGCTAAGAGTGATTCCAGGCCAGCGTCTAACAAGGCAACAGGGGCCTCAGTCACACAGCCATAAAGAAATGAATGATGCCAACAAACTGAATGAGCTTGGGAGCAGATTTTTCCCCAGTCAAGCCTCCAGATGAGAATGCAGCTCTACAGACCTTAACTTAGCCCTGTAAGGACTTTAGCCAGAGGATACACAAAAGTCATGTCCAGATTTCTGACACATGGAAACTACAAAACAACAAATGTTGTTTTAAGCCACTAAGTTTGTGGCCATTTGTCATGCAGCAATAGAAAACAAATACAGTATCTAAGATAATCAGGCAGTCTCCTGGCCATATGGGAGCATGTCAGCAGCTTAGAATGGAACCTTCAATGTATCTTTCTCATAACCATACAAAGATACAAGGAGAATTAATATCTTAAAATCCTACACCTTCAGCAAAATTAGAAGATGAAAAAAATCCAGTTTTAGTTACAAAGGAAGAATGTGTCTGGGAGGTCCATAGCACCATAAGGTGATTATAGTTAATACTAATATATTGTATACTTAAAAATTGCTAAGAGAGTAGCTCTTAAATCTTCTCACCACAAAAAAACAAGTATGCATGGTGATAGATATGTTAATTAACTTGACTGAATCATTTCACAATATATACCTGTTCCAAGACATCATGTAACATGCTGTAAATATATATAATTTAAGAAGACAAAAATGTCCACAGATTTTTAGGTATGTGAAAGTAAGTATGGAGTCGGGAAGAGCAAATCAAAGAAGCCGTAATAGTGACTGGTGAGGTGGTGGAGTGGTCGGTGCTATGAGAAAAAGAGACCGTTATCAGCAGAACCTGGAATCAGCAGCAAATATTCATCACCAGAATGTGAGGGACCAGCTAGTGGGGCACTGCTGTGGACAGCTCTATGCATGAAAAGGTATTGCATAAGAACTGGTGGAAATAGACAGAAATGACTGGGAGTGCAAGGAGAACAAAGATAGTATCACAATATATCCAATAAACTGCCCATTAAGTGCAACAGGTGAAGGAGCCAATGAGCTGAGAAACAGGAGAGGCTGCATTAATTCTTTCCCACCTCCAAACACAACCACCACTGGATACTCCTGTAGCA